GGGAGGGGTTTGGTGACGGAGACATCTGGGGGGAGGGGGCATTTTTCGGGGGTCCTTCGGGAAGTCTTTGCCAAGGTCGTCCTTTGGTTTGCTCTTGGGGAGGGTAGTGTAGTGGTTGTCAACAAATGCATCAGAGGCGAACGAAACACAGGACGAAACAAGTATAAGCGTACATGAAGTTCGTGATTTCAAACAACAACAATTACAAACAGTTTTCAGAAGCATTCAGTTATTTACCATTATCTGCGAGTGACAATCGTTGCATAAATTTATAAACCACAAAATTACAGGGCGAAGAAAGTGTGCAATCGTCTGAAACATCGATAGAAAAGTAGAAGGAAAACAAAAAAAATGCAAGCGCTGCAGCCTGCAGATGCTGCGCCCATGTCTGAATAAAGAGTGCAATCCTCTGAAACATCGATGCGAAAATAAAACGAACAAGAAACAACAATCAGCACCTACTGCACCTGTGTATGGAAAAAATGTGCAAAAATAAATGCAGTCATGACGAGCTGCACAGACTACACCTATGAACACATTACCTCATCCAAACCACTAAATATACTATACACTACTAAGAAATACAGGATGAAAGAGGACCCCCCGTGCGACTAAACATCATCGTCGTCCACAATGTCCTTCCTCCTCCTCTGCGGCACCACACCTGTGACACCATCGCCGCTACCTGTGCCGCCTACTGGCCCGTGGGCAGTATCCGGAGCATGAACCCCCCCCTGTGGCGCCGCCTCAACCCCGCGCTGTGCTCGAAGAAGGTCGTACATGGAAATCCTCTTCGGCTGGCCAAGATGCATCTCCAAATCGTCGGTACCCGACTCCCAAACGACTGTTGTCTGTGACGGTCGTTGCGCAGGCACCGCCCTCACATCCTCCCGCAATATACGTCCGGCCATGGTCCTCCCGGGGGGACCACTGTGCTCCGCCTGCTCCCCCCTACCTGTTGTATGCCCCCCAATACGTTGCATCGCCGCCTCAGCAGGTGCTGTCATGGGCTGCTTCGTCGCCCGGGTGGAGGCCCTCTACCACCAACCTGCTGTCTCCGTGACAACGTCCCCGGCCAATGCCTCCCGAGTCCGCGGATGTAAAACGGCCAACCCGGGCTGACTCTCCCGCATCGACTGTGTCACTCTCCTCACAATACTAAAACTCTTTCCTACTCTCATCTTCTTCTTTCGTGATTTGGGAGACGGAGACTCTGCAGGTGTCGGTGCGGGAATCCGTCCCGTGACTGGACCCTCAGCATGTATGGGGGTAGTAGCATCTGTGGTGGACGATTGCAGTAACGGGCTGCACGGCACGTAAGCCGGGCCCTCTTCCATGAACCTCCTCGACGCCTCATCCATCCGTCCGCGTCGATCTGCCTGCAATGGGTCCTCCCGTGCCTGCCGCTCCAACTCCCCCACCGTCATGGCTCCACCGATAGGCAATATACAAACACCCTAAACCGGTGACGTGGGTCTCTCGCCTGCATCCCTACCGCCCGCACCGCCACACTCAAGCACTGCATCGTCCGTCGCACGATGACCCTCACCACCGCCCATCTCGAGCATCCGCTCTGTCCGTGCCCTCGACGCAATACTCTGTGTCATCTCGCAACGACTAGCCAAGTCCTGCGCCCTCTCCCTCTCCTCGCGGTCGATTCTATCCTGCTCCGACTTTGGCGCTCGCTCCTGCATAGGTCGGCAATCCCCATCATTCCCTACTGTACGCTCCTGCTGCCCCGACGAACCCTGTGTCCCTTCTCCTGCCTCCTGCAACATGCTGCTACTAATGTCACCCATGTTGCATGAAGGTATATCCCGGAGTATCTGACTGACGGGCGTAGCTGCTGCGTCCGCATCACCACTGCCACGCTCGCCTGCCGGTGTCGGAGGAAGCTCTAACGAAACATTTAAAATACCACTGAAACTGGCACTCAACTGCGCAGAAGTCCTCCGAACCTGTGCAGCCTCGCCARCRACCTCCTCMGACGCTCCTGCAAACTCTGCARCGGAGGGAGMGGCCTCTGCAGCGACCTCTGCCGACGCAGCACCAAACTCTGCCGACCYGRCGCCGACCTCTACTGTYGCCGCACCCTCATCAACCCAGTKCACAGTGTGAGTGAACGATGCAGACTCTCGCCTCGCCCGTCCTCCGCCACCATGGCCTGCACCACTTCCTCCCCTGCCTGCACCACTGCCTCCCCCCACACCCGTGCCTGCACCACTGCCTCCCTTGCCTGCACCACTGCATCGGTCGGCACACTGTCGAACCGACGTCCGCATACCACCTGCAGCCTGTGTACCATCTCCGCCGTCGTCGTCGTCGTCACCACGTACATGTTTCAGGGAATAGCCGGGATCATCCTCGTCCTCACTGCTGCCTTCGTACCCCTCCCTGTTATCGTCGTCGTCGTCGTCTCCCTTGTCAACTATCTCTCGAGTCCCCTCCTCGCCATGTCCAGGACAATCTGTAGGTGGGAGGGATGTTGCGCAGCGGCTGCAGTGGAAGCAGGAGCACTCGAAGGCGGAGGTGGAGGGGGAGGGGGACGCGGCGCAGCATCTGCAGTGGAAGCACGCGTCTAAGGACGCAACATCTCCGCAAGAGGAACAGCGTCGCGACCATCATCAGAATCTCCGGGCTCTAACTCTACTACCAGGTCGTCTGGATCAGACCACGGCTCTGCCTCAATCGGGTCCTAAGCCATAGGATCAGGCTCGGGATGGTACACGACGTCCAACTCAATCGTCATGAGCACCGTGGTGCGACGACCGAAATATGTCTCGACGCTGGGCGGAGCCTTCGAAAGGCGATCCTTCCGCCCGCGCTGCATCGGCCGCTCGCACTGCGCCTCCGTGACTCGGTCAGCTTGCCGAACACCCTCGTCACGAGGCAGAGGAATAGTGTCCTCTGACTCCTCCTCAACATCCTCCCATGGCAGAACGTACCCTGAACCCCTCCCCTGACAGCGACTCAATCTCAAGTTGGTGGATATCTCCACCAAACGAGCAAGCTTGATAAAACCAAGCTGGTTACGCTTCTTCACCTGAACACGCTCATGGATGGCCCAGTTCCTCTCCGCTGGAGAGGCGCACGTCCATGTGTGCGTCAGGCGAATGGCGTAACTCTGAAGGAGAGGGACCCCGTCCCCGTGCTGCACCCACCACTGCCCGACCTGCGACGTCTCCTTCTCC